CCAGCAAGCATGGACGCGCCTCTCCATCATCATGCAGAAGATGACAGGGGTCTGTTCCCTCCCCCATCCCCAGTTTCCCTTCAGTTGACATATCTGTGATTTCAAACCCAGATGCTATTTTTATTTCTTGTATTACACCCCTTTTGAGAGTCTCTTTTGACACCTGCGTTTTGGTCCAGATTTATGACAGTGGTTTGCAATGCTCAAGACTGATTAGGAAGAGGAACAGAAGCCTAGGAGGATGAGCTCAGTACACTGGCTCCTGACAGCAGGTGGGCCATGCACATATCACAATGCAGTCCTTCCAAAGCTGGGCCCAACCTGGGATCTGCATCCAGAGTAAGTCAGAACCACCAAGTCAGGGCCTGGGCGACTGGCCACTTCATTCTCATGAAAAGCCTTGGTGGCAAGCCACTGCCATCACCCCTTAGCTGGGCCACATGGCATCTGGACAGTAAGCTGGAGTGGCAAACCTGAGCATCATTTGGCCTTCCTGCAGATCATGGCAAGCCAACTACAAGGCCCTCTCCTGCAGGTCTGGTCAGGGTCACACACTCTACTGATGGGGACCAGGGAGGGAACCCTAAGGAGGGAGTGAGCCAGGTTTGTAGAGAGAGGGTTTGCTTGCTCAGTATATCTAGATCATCTGATTTCCCCTCAAAATACAGAAAGCCAGAATTGTATATTTTAGGTTTTAGGAACCCTGTGTGGGGTTCCTAATGCCATSGAGGCAGAATTGACCTGTAGGCTCTGCCTGGGACCCCAGCCTCAAACTCTTCCTGTCTGTGGAAATTATCCTTTTGTTTCAATCACAAAAGTCTCCCTTCTCAGAAACAGCTTAGGTCTTCTTCAGCAAGTGAAAACCTAGGTGCCTCAATGCCCGTCTTCATTATTTTGTGACTTTTTTAAAAGCCACTCAGATTGCCCTGAAGTTTACCACTCCCTGTCATTTTGTGTTCATCTTGGCCATGTGTAGATAACCAGGGACCCTGGGCACTCTAAAATATCAGGGCTCATGTCACCAGTTAAGGAAGCACTTGCTTCCTGTGGGATAGCTCTGCTTCCCTGAAGAGAAGCAGACACCCAGCCCAGCATCCTGAACTATCAGTCCTGGGTCAAGAAGGCAGAGGGGGAAGGCAGTCCCCCCACTCCTAGAGCTGTTGGCCACGCCTGGGAAGCTTCCCTGAAGATGCTCACAACGCTTCCTTGAAAACCATGGGGATGTGAACAACCCCAGCAGGCAGCTTTGTGTTCAAAGACCAGGCCAGCAGAAGTTGCTCCCAAAAGGAGGTAACTCAGAGAGAAGTGAGAGAAGAGTTGGAAGTACCAAAAAATGGATCAGRAATAGGCACCAAGACACTGATGTCATGTTAGGACAGTTCATCTGCTATCAGCAGCCTGAGAAGTAGTCTCTGCAGGCAAAGGGACCCAACCCTAGAGTTCACTCCCCAGTAGAGTTTCTGCCCATTTGGTTGGTGCCAAGAAGCTTCCCTGCTGTGGTAGCCTGTGGGAGCAGATCCTAGCTAGTGTGGGAAGTGGTGCCAGCTCCCTGGAAACACAGTCCCTTGCCCCCTCCACACCACCAACCTAGACACACACCTAAACCAACATCTTATCATCTTAAGGTTCAGTCTCAATCACATATCCYCTGCTGCCAGCCCCAGAGGGAGCCGGTTTCCCTGTTCTCTGTTCTCCTAATTATCTGTATTTATGCTTTAGAGGGTGTTTCAAAGTATAAAAATGTGGCTCCTCACTAAAGCCTCTGTGCTTGGGTTCCCAGAGGGTGGGGACATGGCACGTCTGTCTTAGGCAGGGTCCAACCAGAATAGAGAGGCTTCAGGTAGCAAGGAATCTTTTCTTTTCCATTGCCTGGGAGAGTTTTACAATGTGAAGGGAAGCTGGGGGCTGGAAGGGGCACATCCCCCAAGCCCATGATCAACTCTCCATGGCATCTCCAAGCCGACCTTTTGCTCTTCTGCAGAAGATCTCAAATGAGAGGCTTCCTAATGAGAAGATGATGTCCCAAACCAGAGTCGCTACGCTACATTTATAAAAACAATAGAACTGGTACTATGAAAATGAGAGCTTGGGATAGTCAAAACAAAAACAAACCAAAAAAAAAAAAAAAAAGGCCTATTCTCTGCCTCAGAAGTTCTAAATTTTCAAGAACCCCTTTGCTTCAAATAAAAAAAAAATCACATTTTTAAAGTATCCTCTTTTCTCATTATGAAGAGAATTCTGAGATATGATATTTTCACATTCCATAAAAATCCAAACAGCTGCTTTATTTCCAAATCACATGGTGCCTTTTATATCCTAAGGATCTATATTGGCATTCACAGTTTTAAAAAGGCAAATCYCAACAGATGTGGTCACCATCTTTCCTAAAACTAAATAAAGACAGCAAGAATCATTTGTCAGCTCCATCACATTCTGGTGTAATGCAATTTCACACTCAAATCTCTAGCCACGTTTAGTCAGTTCCCACTGTGTGACTGAGCACCTGTGCCTGACTGGCCACCTCTCAAAGGCAGAAGTCAATAAAAATACCTGACAGTGAGAGAAATCAAATCCGTGCTTAAGCCCGGAGTGGTGGGGCACAGCTGAAACTCAGCAACTCGGGAGGTTGAAGCAGGAGGATAGCTAGTTTGAGGCCATCCCAGGCAACTTAGTGAGCCCCTGTCTCAAAATAAAGTCTAAAAAAGGGCTGGGGATGAAGCTCAGAGATAGAGTGTTCCTGGATTCAGTCCCCAGTACCAAAAACCCACCAACAACAACCACCAAAAAACTCTGCTTAATATTTCCTCAACAATTTGGCAAGTCCTTGTAGGAGTTGGCTATGTTACAATGTGAGGCCAATAATACTGACTATGATATCAATATATTGTGACATCTATCTGTATATTAACCAATGTGGGCGGTTAACCAATGTGGGCGGGAGTTTAAAGATATGGTATTGCATGAAAAAACACTTTAGTGACCAGGCCGACTAGTGTCCCTTCACCATTCTCTTGTCCCTCCTTCCCTTTCTTCTTCCACTAACACCATACTCATGGCTCAGGATCAGAAAGAACCTTGTTGCAGTGTGACAGAGCACTGGGGGGAGGGAGGGAAGGGCACCAGATGCAGCTGGAGAGGTAGGAAGGGGAAGAGCATGCCAGGCCTTGTAGGCCTTAGCCAAGCATTTATATTCATTACAAGAACAAAGGGAACTGCCTGCAGGGGTTTAGGAAGTGAGTGTATGATGTAATTTACATTTTATAAAGATCACTCTGCTTAACTGTCTGATGAATTTATGCCTTTTGCCCTTGATCAGATCACAAGCTCCTGGATGGCAGGACTATAGTCACACCCATTTAATACCCCACTTCATACACAGGCAGAATTTTAAACCAATGGCTCTCAGACTTTCTCGAGTGTATCAGAATCACCGGAGGCTCATTCAGACATAGCTTGCTGGACCCCACCCACAGTTTCTAATTCGTAGGCCTGGGTGAGGCCTGAGAGTTTATATTTCTAAGAAGTTCCCAGATGATTCTGTGATATAGGTTGCTGGACCAGGAACTGCACTTAGAGAACCTGTGTTTAAATCTCTTWGTTGAATAAAGCAATCAAAGAAGGAACATGGGAATATTTTTTAAAACAAAACAATAGAAGCCATCTGTGGTTTGGGTGTGACCTAAAATAGCAATCATTTATTCTAATTTTTCTTTTTAACAATTATTCTCTTTGCTATATTATATGATAACAAAAGGATTAACCCATCCCATGCAGAGATACTCAGAAAGGAAATAGATCATTGTGATTAGACAAGATGAGACACTTTAGAGAYTGTAGTGCCAAGTTCAATTATAAATTAAATGTCATTTGAAGATTTTTTTTTTTTTTCCAAACGGATGTGATTTGTGTAGGCAGTTATTACCTTCCTCAATCCAGGAAGGCTATGCAGTGGTAAGGTATCCCTTGGTGCTATTCCAAAACTGCAAAAATTTTTCTTAGAACTCAGGAATAAAGCTCACCATGACCCACAGCTGTTTGATTGAAAGTACACAATGTTTGTGAACACACCAACTATAAAACAAAGTAAATCCAAACTCTTCCTAGAAGAAAGCCCTAAACATCCCAATTTAGGTGCTTATTATGCCAAAATAGAAATGCAACTCATCAATGCCAAGTGCATCAAGACTCATAATCAACACAAGGAGAACACACTGCAGACCTAGGACAGTGGGGTGCAGATGACAGACAAGAAGTATGTGGCAATTGTCCTCTGTCTCTGTGGGTTTACTCTGTCCCACCGCAGGTGAGACTGTAGTTTCCAAGTGCAAGTGTCCATTCACCCAGAAATTTTTATTTCAGGCTAATCAAAACCAGGCAGTTCAAACTCAGGGACAGCTTGAGTATTGGGGGTTCAGTAGGAAGCCCTCTTGCCTGAGGCCAATAAGGTCATAGGTTCATGATCTGATTAGGGAGGAAGTTAGTTAGAAACACTAGGATTGTGCAGGATCTTCTTAAATACCCAGGGTGAACCTAAGTGAAACTCATCTATTCTGTAGTTATTCAGGATCTCAGGATCTACTATGGCAACTGGAGATGGAAGAAACTCAGAATATCAAAAAAGCCTCCTGATCAAAACAAGAAAGGCTATTGAAAATAAGARACCTTGGCAAGCAAATAATAGTCATTAAACAGCAACCAATGAGTCCTTCTCTGTTTCCCTGTAGCAAGGCACAAACAATACTACGTGAAGCCATTGTGAGGCAGATGCAGCTCAGGTCCTGTGGAAGATGAACCTGGATCCTTGCTCTATGCTGGTGGGAATCATGGGACAGTCTGCCTCTGAACTGAATACAGAAATAGCAACCCCTACACTTTAACAAAAAGATGAAATACACATGAGCTCCCAAATCCAAGGTCATTATGCAGACTCTCTCTGAAACCCAGCACCCCAAGGCATTTGCAATTACCCACCTCCAAAAGGGTAAAAGTAAACATTGGACCTGCTCTGCTGTTAAACTGCCACCGGATCCTCCCCGCTGTCTCCCTCCTCCTCTTCTTCTTTACAGACAGGTAAAGTTGGATCTCTTGAAGGAACTGGGGGCTCCCACTCTAGGCAAAGGTTGGACAGGTGATCAATGTACAGCATGAGATTTGKCTGTGCCTACGTGCCTCCGACAGAGCTGGATCATCTAGGGCAATGAAAATTGTAAGCAACAAGAAAGCAGTATTAACAGCAAGAGTAGGGCAACCCAGGCAGCACATACAGTTCCCCAGGACAGCCAGCAGCCATTCCTTCCCTTTTTCATTCACTCCACATGCTCCAGGCTCTGCTTAGAGTGAGAGTCATGACAAACAGAAACACAGGCCCTGCTCTTGTGGAGCTTAGGGGCTATTCAGGAGACAATGAGACAATTACAGGACAGCAGGTATGGGAACCTACAGGGTGCTATGGGGTACAAAGCCAAGGCAGCCAGCCCAGACTGAGGGTTGGGGTGGGGTGGGGTGAGTGGATCAGGGAAGTTACCAGAAGAAGTGACATTTAACACTGAGCCTGAGGATCCCCGGAGTTAGCCAGACAGGCGAGGAGTGAGTCAGTATGTGTAAGACTCCTGAAGCCAGAAAGCAGGGTTGGTCCAAAGTTCTTTGTTCTTAGCCATTTTCCAGCCCAGGATCCTATGCTCATCTGGAGCACCCAGACTTGGAGTCAGCATCCCTCATCACAATTCCCAGAAAGCTGCTGTGCTTCTACTGCTCTGTTGGGATCTCAGGAAAGAAAAGGACTGAAAAATTGCTAGTTCCATAAGAAGTGAGAAGAAAACAATGTGAGGTTGAACCGCCCTAAAATAGACCCGATTGTAGCGATTGGTTTTATGGACACCAGCATCGGGGGTGAGATGCCATCTCACTCTGGATTGTCAAAACGGACAACCCTGAGATGTGGGATTGCAGTGGGTCATCACCCRCTCAGGATCCCCAAGGCCTCTTTGCTTTGACTCTCCCACCTTACCCCTTTTTTCCCCTCCAAGTCCCTGGGAAATTGCTGAGGGAGCATTTTGGGCCTCTTCCCCTGGCTGTTTTCATGTCTATAAGGCTATCACAGACATAATACCTCCCACTTGCCTTATGCAATTAAGGGAAATCAGATAGCTGATGAAGCCAGTATTGTCATGGCCTCCACGTGGGGAACAAAGCAAAACCAAACAAACAGCCTGCGAAAGTCCCAGAAGTCTAAATGTTGCCCAGGGTTCTAGCTGCCTGTGCAACATGAAAGAAACCATTGTAAGGGATGGTTAAAGAAACCATTTTTACCAAAAATGCACAATCCAAAGAAGCTTTCCTTCATGTTTCAATATTATCATATAACTCAAGTCCTGCAAACAACCTCTGATTGAATACAGAAAGAAACAAAACCCCGACTTCTAAGAAGCAGAGCAGGCAGTTATTTTAGAGACAAAGAAAGGATGTCTTTTTAACCTATGACAACACAAATTTGTTTAGGTTTTCCCTCCACTAAGTAAGTAAGCAATTAGGTTTTTTCCAATAAAAATATCCCCATGCATGTGCAAACACCAGGGGCAATCATATAATTACCCTGCCCAATCAGATTCAATTGCTGACAGTTGAGTTCCCACTGCTCATTAACTTCAGATCGCAGTGAGGTCTTTACAGAAGCCCTTTCCGTCTCCTTACAAAGGTTCCTATGATATCGGGAGCAGCCCCGGCACTACCTCATACAGGCTAATCATCCCCAAATCACCAGGGCCAAGGCCGGCCTACTCTGGCTTCCCTCTGAAAAAATAAAAAGAGAAATGCGAAGACACGTTGGCTTAAAGGCCCTCGGTTCATTTGGGGATCTCACTTCTAAATATAATAGTAACCTTTCACCCCCACACTTTAAGTGCCGTAATTATGTAATTAAAACCAATTATGTCATTTAACAGAGACTTTTTCAAGCCAATTACCTCAATCATTGACCTCAGAAGATTTCCCACACTGACCTGCAACAATGAGGATTGGGATAAATTTAGACACTGGCTTCCGAAGGCTGGCACAGACTAGTTGGTCTAGATTCTTCTAGACCCCAGAAGCTGAAGTTAATTCATTTGGTTCTAATAACAATACAATCCTTCCAATATGCTAAGGCCATTGATTTTTTCATACCCACCGGGATAGTAATCTCCATGTTGTAGACGAAAAAGAGGAGGCAGGGAGAATTATAAACTTATCTCAAGTTTTGCAGCTAGTTAGCTGCAATGCTAGAGCTTGAGAACCAAAGTATTCTACTGTAAAATCCAAAGTTTCTCAGAGGCAAGTTGTGTGTGCATACGTGAGTTTGCCTGTGTGCACGTGTGTATTGTGTTTATTCTCCTCCCATTTTAATTATCTTACTCCAATTCCCCTGTGTCACATCTGTATCACATGAAGTTCCATTCCAGCTCAAGGGTATGCTGTAACAAAAGCCACAGCCAATCATTTCCTGGAATTGGTACTGGGATGAGCATATAATCCCATCCAATCCAATGATACACACTGAGCCTTTGCTGAGAATTATGGGAAAGGGTCTCACTCTTCTGTGTTTGCCTGTGACAAGGGGTAAGCTCTGGCAGTTAAGCTGCCATCTTGCCACCAGCAAAGGAATGAGGAGAACGAACCGAGAGATGTGGAGAGAGAGATTGGTTCCAGGAAACAATCCCTTCCTAACTCCTGGTTGCTTCATATTGAAAGTATGGGTTAGTTCAAAAGTATGCTAGAGAAAATATAAAGATTTGTTACCACCTAAGTTTTGGCAGACTTGATCACAGGGAACAAAACTGATTGAGCATGGCTGTGAGCAGCAATCTTGCCTCCTGCTCACAACATAGTTAAATGCCTCCAATTTTCAAGTTATTTAAAGAACATAGCATTTTATGGGCAGGAGGAAGCACTTTAATCTGCAAAATGATTTTTATCACAAACTAAACATCCTTGTAACTTTTTGGTCCTCTACTTTAGACAAAGTTGTCTTTCCATGGAGCTGAGACAGCTGTTGGAGCTGAGAAGATCTCCCTCGACCTTGCACTTTGCCCTGCTCAATGGTATTCTTGTACTCTCCAATTCCTGGATCCATGTGGGATGTAAAATCTCAGGATACTTGCATTCATCGAAATGGAGCATTTCTCTCTCTCTCTCTCTCTCTCTCTCTCTCTCTCTCTCTCTCTCTCTCTCTCTCCTCACTGGCTTTTAGGGAAAGAAAAACAAACAAGAATAAACAAATAAATAAAAGCAAGAATCCCTTTAAGGGCAGGTTTCAACCTTGGCATTATTGACGTTTGGGACCATATCATTCTTTGCTGTGGGGACAGCCTTGTGCACTGTAGGATGTATGACATCATTTCTGGCCTCTACCTACTAGATGCCAAAAGCACTCATTTCCTCAGTTTGGGACAAAGAAAAAAATGTTTGTAGACATTGCCAGATGTCTCCAGGTGGGGGTCAGGATAACTTCTAGTTGAGAACCACTGCTTTAATAGAATGTTTGAGCTATTCATTGGGTCTTCCTTACGGCACCTGTGAAAATGTGATCCCGGTAGTATATCAATGTCTTGTACTTGAAGTGTGAAAGTGAGGGAACCATCACTTTCTTTAGAACAAAAACTATGTAAAGTATCCCCTAACAAGAGCTGACAAGAAAACAAACAAAAACCAAAAAACTCAAGATGGCAACACTGTTGACTCATCACAGCTATGAAACCACTATAATTGGCTCACCCATTAAAGACCAAGGTGGAGGAAAAATGTATCAGACACAAATAATTTTACCTAAAAAACCAGCAAGAGAAAAAGGATGTAGAGAAGAAAAATTAGAAACAAAGAGTAAGGGAACAAAGAAAAATTAAATACAAAGAACTCACTGCAGTGAGTTTCAAAGTGGGTATTCAGTTCCTTGCTTCTACAGGAAAAGAAAATGAAACCTTAAGGCTATTGTTATCTTTTCTAGATTCAAGTGTAGCCCAAAACATGAAAGAGGCCCAGCTCAACAGAAACCACCCCTCCAGCAAAAACCAAAACTCAGCCACTTGGTAGAAAAAAGTAAAAAATGGTAATGCTTCACTGATTTGGACAAATGTGGGTGCAGACATTTAAGATAAGCAAAATTGATGGGTCTGTAGCATATTTTTTAAGGAAAGGCATTTACTTTCCCTGCAATGCCATCGCATAACCAAGAGTGGAGTAGCAGAAGTCCTTCCTTCAAAGAATCTGAATGAGAATAGACAATTCACTGAATTAGCATCTGACTTGTTTGGCTGGGGAGAAGGGCTTTGAATTAGTTCTTCYCAAGGAGGGCCATTAGTTGTACCTTCACACTGCAGCCAGCCCAGGGATTCCAGAATAGTGGGTTTCCAAAAGACTTTGCTTTAAGGCACAGACTTCTGCCTCAAAGGTCCTGAGTTCTGACCTGATCTTCTGACTAGAAGATCCATGTTGGTGTGTGTGTGTGTGTATGTGTGTGAAAACTGGGCTTTGTTGGGGCTTCCTGGTATGAAAATATTTGGATTCTATGGTTGTCTAGCTACAAGTTCTAATGCCTTGGGGGTGAAGAGGTGTAAGGGAGGTCAGGTTCCCAGAGATGGGACATCCTGCTTCCTCCTTTCTCAGGTGCCTCCCCTCTGGCTATCAGCTTACTCCTGCTGTCCCATTCTTCTGGCCCCACATTCTCCACCTGCCTGTGCATCTCTCTAGTGAAATCAGACTGCTTAGGGAGTGGCATGTCTCAACTGGAGAAAGAATGGGAATAAAGGGATCTCTGAGGGGCCTTGGCTTTCTTTTCATTGTTCTTGTAGGCATGTTGGCTTTTCTTTTGGTAAAGAGCTAACATGTAGAACAAATAGAAAAACAGAAGAGCTTGTCCTGAGGTTCTAGCCACAGTGACTCTTGTGAGTTGCATAAACAACTCTTCTTTCTTAAACCTGGAGCTAGACCTCAAACCTTGATAAATGAAGAGTTTCTCAGGGCACGCTCTTCCTATGAGTCGGCATCCCCAACCCACACTCTCAACCGAAATTCTTCATCCTAGCCAATGGGTATTTCTCGGAATATCTGGGTATGTCAACAGAGACAGAAGAACAGCCCATGTCCCCATTCCAACTGGCACTGGAACCACAGAAGGAGTTGTGTATGTTTTGCTGGAAGTGCCTCCTGACTGAGTCTA